CCTGCGCAGGGGGACTCAAAATACTTCGAAAGTGGGGGACTCAACCTAAATCATGTGCCAGGGCGGATCAACCTGCGCCAGGGGGACTCAACCTGCGCCAGGGGGACTCAACCTGCGCCAGGGGGACTCAACCTGCGCCAGGGGGACTCAACCTGCGCCAGGGGGACTCAACCTGCGCCAGGGGGACTCAACCTGCGCCAGGGGGACTCACCTGTGCGGGGGTATCTGTAGGCATCGGTCTTCCGCTCCTCCAGGGCTGGAGAGGGAACATGAATGATCTCTACCTCCGTCTCATCCACCTCTTCATACAGCAGACGCAGGGTTTTCCCCCCTTCTGAGTCTAACAGAAGAGAAAAGCAGGTTAGACAGGTGTACCTCATGTTCTTGAAAATGCATACAGATACAGCTAGCGTTTATGACAAACATCTTCATGATGAGTGTCTGGGGCAGGTTGAAGCCTGTATAATGTTCATCAAAGCATGACTGATTGACAGACTATTTGATTATAGAGGAGCTCAATTTCTCACATGAAAGTGGGTACTGCTCTACTCATATGGAAGGAGTGATAGATGGTGACCCTACTCACCCTCTACGGCAGATGGACTCCACCAGTAGCCAGTGAAGCGATCAAACTCCTCCTGGATCACAAACGTGGCCACGCCCGCAGACTTGGGGTCCTCCTTCACATTATCCAGACCTGACCCAGGGAGAGGGGATTAATTCATTTTATTAAATCTATGCAGTGCCAGCAACATGGCATTGAGAATGTTTACAATTCCATACAACTACAGTACACAAACGTCCAAAAGTTGCTGACCCCTCTGACCTTTGTGACAGAAGGTGAGTCTCCTCTCCTCCCCAGACTTGATGTTAGCCAGCCACAGGTCGTTGTTGTTGATAAATGCAATGAAGTTGGGGTCTCCTGGGGAGATCTTGGGGTCCATGCGGGTCCCTGAGCACTGTGTCTTAATCTCCACTGGCTTCATGGGGGCAGACTGCTTTTAAATCAGGAAACACACTCTCAGTGTACAGGGTCGTATTCATTAGGCACCAAACGTTACAAAACAGACTGAAACAGGGACGACCTCGACTTGTCCAATAGAACTGCTTATTTTCTAATGAATATAACCCTGAAGACACTTAACCATATATTACAGCAACAGTCATTCATTGCGGTGGCTTTGGGTGCTGTGCAGTTCATGCACTAATGCTTATCTCATGCACGAATGCTTATCGCAACTACAGGATTTTAAAATGACATTTAATGATGTAGATAACAATCCAACAATTGTCATAATTGAACCACAACAGGAGATAATCAAAGACTGCTTGCAATGATAGATTCAGTCTTAGACAGATATTTTAGTTTGAACAGCGAGGCGGGCAATGTTTACAAAATAACATAACGGTAGGTATGTCTGCTAAATTATGTAAATGTATGTGTCAAATCGAACCCATATAGCCAACCTATTTTCTAGAATCTATAAACTAACCACATCTTCAGAGAACTAAGGGAAGAAGAGAGCGTAAAGCTCTAGAAAGCACTATAAAAGTTACTCTAACGCACTTACAGTGTCTTACAAAAGTAATCAGACCACTTGGATTTCTACACATTTTGTGTTACAAAGTGGGATAAAAATGTATTTCATTGTCATTTTTTTATCAACAATCTACACAAAATACTCTGTAATGTCAATTTTTTATTATTTTTATTATGTATAACTAAAATATAGTTGTTGCATAAGTATTCAGTCCCTTTGCTTAGGCAAGCCTAAATTAGTTCAGGAGTAAAATTTGGCATAACAAATCACATAATAAAGTTACATGGACTCACTCTGTGTGAAATAATAGGGGTTGGCATGATTTTTGAATGACTAAGCCTTCCTCTGTCCCCCATACATACAACATCTGCAGTGCTATGAAAAAGTATTTGCCCCCTTTCTAATTTTCTCTACTTTTGCATATTTGTGATACTGAATGTTATCAGATCTTCAACCAAAACCTAATATTAGATAAAGGGAACAAAAGTGAACAAATAACATAACAATTACATATTTATTTCATAAACAAAGTTATGCAACACCCAATTCCCCTGTGTGAAAAAGTAATTGCCCCCTTACACTTAATAACTGGTTGTGCCACCTTTAGCTGCAATGACTCCAACCAAATGCTTCCTGTAGTTGTTGATCAGTCTCTCACGTCGCTGTGGAGGAATTTTGGCCCACTCTTCCATACAGAACTGCTTTAACTCAGTGACGTGTGGGTTTTCAAGCATGAACTGCTCGTTTCAAGTCCTGCCACAACATCTCAATTGGGATTAGGTCTGGACTTTGACTAGGTCATTCCAAAACTTCAAATTTGTTGCTTTTTAGCAATTTTCATGTAGACTTGATTGTGTGTTTTGGATCATTGTCTTGCTGCATGACCCAGCTGCGCTTCAGCTTCAGCTCACAGACGGATGGTCTGACATTCTCCTGTAGAATTCTCTGATACAGAGCAGAATTCATGGTTCCTTCTATTAAGGCAAGTCGTCCAGGTCCTGAGGCAGCAAAGCATCCCCAAACCATCACACCACCACCACCATGCTTGACCTTTGGTATGATGTTCTTACTGTGGAATGCAGTGTTTGGTTTTCGCCAGGCATAAATGGGACCCATCTCGTCCAAAAAGTTGACTCAAGTTTGCCAAAAAGCACCTGGATGATCATCAAGACTCTTGGAAGAACGTTCTATGGACAGATGATTGAAAAGTATAACTTTTTGGACGACATGGTTCCAGTAATGCCTGGCGAAAACCAAACTCTGCATTCCACAGTAAGAACATCATACCAAAGGTTGCTGTCTAGCCATGATCGCCAACATCTTGGCAGAGCTTGAAGAATTTTAAAATAATAATAATGGGCAAATATTGCATAATCCAGGTGTGCAAAGCTCTTAGACTTTCCCAAGAACACTCACAGCTGTAATTGATCCCAAAGGTGTTTCTAACATGTATTGACTCAGGGAGCTGAATACTTATGCAATGACTATTTTTAGTTATTACATTTTTATTAATCTAAAAAATAAAAGTTAGAATTTGTCTTCCACTTTGACATTAGAGTATTTTGTGATAGATTGTTGACAAAAAAATGACAATTAAATCCATGTTTATCTCACTTTGTAACATGTGAAGAAACCCAAGAGGTTTGAATACTTTTTCATACCAAGACGTTTTCCTGCCAACTTTACCACGCCTTTTCTATTCATCTGAAAGGTATTGCCGGCAACAAAGCCTGTACTTTTATTTCCGGCAACCGACCTAGTCACAGTTGCTGTAATGTATTTAAAAGTCCCACCAACCCCCTCATCTTACCATCTTTGGTATGCATGAAATCATGAACATTATATTATTGTCCAACATTAAACTTGTCAATCACACAGATTCACAGAAATGCTTTTAATGCATTTATTCTCTCCATTTAAATGTATGTAGTGCTGTCCTTGAGCGGTGATTGTCTATTGTCACAGAAATGCTTTGGCATTTACCATGGGGGAATGCACACTGCCATTTAATCTTTTTTTCTTGACTTTGACAGGTAAATATTTAAAGGCCCTTATATTTAGTTAATAAATTATAGTTTAATATGCATACGTTTCTAACTTAAACAACAAATCGCTAGTAGGCTATCTCTGTCTTCAGACATAATAAATGTTGGGGGGTTTGAAGGAAGAGAAAGCGCGCGATGGTGTGATCACATCCAAAGTGGATCAAAAAAGCAACTTCCTGAAATCACCCTATAGAGGTCAATTATTATTTATTTTTTATACAACTTTTGTTACATGACAGCGGTTCCACACGTTCGTGACACTCAAGTTGTGTGGGAAAAATATTATTTATATTTTATTCTGTTATATCCATTATATAAATTCTTACTATAAAATATAGGCCCTATGTGTGTTGACTGATCAGGGCAGGGGAATGTAGGCTAAGTGTGTCTCTTGTCTGTTTAATGAACAAAATTAAATAATCATTTGCACAGACCAGTAATATAATTAAACTCAAAATATACCATTCTATTGAAAATAAATTGTATTAGTTGTATGTTTCTTAGGAACTGCATAAACAAATTAATAATGGATTTCTTTGTCTAGCCAGCTCATACAATTACCAGAACATATCTGACAACGTTTTGAGTTGCCAACTTTTTATTCACCATACAGGAAAATACAAGGTAATTATTTACAAGGTGGCTCTAGCAAGCTGCTAACTCACTGTTGTGAATGTGAAGAAATTAAAGCAGTGGATGGTCTAAATTTAAATGGAGGAATTTAGAACTGCTGATGTAGAAAGCTTTATAAATACACTTGTTTGATGATAAAGGGGGGTAAAACTCACAATGAAGCCGTTGCTGCCCCCGTCCTGACAATAGAAGAGGCTGTTGCTGGCCTGGAAGAGGAACAGGCCGGTCTGGGTGTGGTAGTCGTAGGAGGTGATCCCAAACGCTCCCAGACGCTTACGCTCCCTAAGCAGCTCCTCTTCCCGGGAATAGGCCCCCTGGTGCGGGGTGGCCTGGAAGTGTTGGAAAGATGGAAAAGCAATTTTGCAATCATTATAATCATTTTATGATTATTCAATGGTTATTTAATCGTCATTGTCTGGAGTTTTTGTGGGTGTCTGTTTACGTCTGTGATGTAGTCATAAAAAATAGGTGGGTCGCCGGTCTGATCGCCGGTCGCGGTGAAAAAGGTATACTTTCAATGCTTTTTTTCTGCAAAAGGTAGGTAAACTGTCAAAGTGGGTAAACTGCGTTTACTTGCATTTACCCTCCACTGCAGCTCTGTTCGTTCCACTTTCCTATGTGTCTCCTGGCTTCGGGTCTTGTTATATTGTTCTGTACGTTGCTAGCAAATTAGCAACGTAACCAGTCAACTTTTGTACAGAACGCTTGAGATGCTTCTCTTATGAGCATAATAACTGTAGTATATTTTATTAGTATTCCCTTGGGTATATGATTCTGTACAATCTCTTGTTACCAGGTTTGGATTAGGGTTGAATTCCGGTGACATGGATACCAAGATTTCCCAACCAAGTTCCTTCCTGTTTCCCGTGAAAAAATAACAACGGGAACAGCCTACCATATTTACTCAACATAAAGTCACTTACAAGACTTTTATAAATTGCATTGACGACCATCATTTGAAGGCTACACGCAACCTCTCAACACAGGCAATCTCCATCTCACATTAACAAATCTCCTAAAGATCCTCAAAAAGTTATACAGCTGCACCATCAAGAGCATCCTGCCTGGTTGCATCACCGCCTGGTATGGCAACTGCTCGGCCTCCGACTGCAAGGCGCCACAGAGGGTAGTGTGTACGGCCCAGTACATCACTGGCGCCAAGCTTCCTGCCATCCAGGACCTCTATACCAGGCAGTGTCAGAGGAAGGCCCTAGAAATTGCCAAAGAGTCCAGCCACCCTAGTCATAGACTGTTCTCTCTGCTACCGCACGGCAAGCGGTACTGGAGCGCCAAGTCTAGGTCCAAAAGGCTTCTTAACAGCTTCTACCCCCAAGCCATAAGACTGCTGAACAGCTAATCAAATGGCTACCTGGATTATTTGCACTGACCCCTTTTATTTTACACTGCTGCTACTGGCTGTTTATTATCTATGCATAGTCACTTTACCCCTACCTACATGTACATATCACCTCAATTACCACGACTAACCTGTACCCCCGCACATTGACTCGGTACCGGTACCCCCTGTATATAGCCTCGTTATTGTTTTTTTATTGTTGCTCGTTTATTTTTTACTTTATTTAGTAAATATTTTTCTGAACTCTTATTTTTCTTAAAAACGGTATTGTTGGTTAAGGGCTTGTAAGCAAGCATTTCACAAATAAAAATTGATTTGATTTGATAAATGTAGCTGTGTGGCACTAGCAGAGGCTCTAAAATATCAACTGCGGCACTCACTGCACCTAAACTATACCGAAACTAATTTCACACATAATAATAGATGTACCCTAAAACCAATATTAAATTGACAATAGTCTGATAGGTGACAACATTAATTGTGAAATTGTGAATGAAGAGACTTATGAACAGTGCAGCGTTTGTAGGCTAATTGACACAGATGCAGGGACCAGAGCAAATGCTTATTCTTACCAAAAAGAGATTTTTTCAAATGCTCCTGAAGAGACGCATGCAAGAGAGCATGGGCCATAGACCGTATGGCACGGGATTGACTAGTTAGATATGTGGTGAATTGATCAACCGCGGCGCTATCCATGGTGCTGAATCTCCGCTTTTGCTGCTATTGCGTTCCTGTTTATTTTGCGCAGCATCGGATATGCCACAATAAGCAGGTTATCATAAAGTAAAAACAGCCACAACCTTTCCAAATTCCCCTGATAGCCAGGTGCAAGGGGATAGTTAAGGACCTAACAAGCTGGCTGACATCTTTCAGTCAAAGGTAGGCTAAAACAGATCTAATTTTCACTAGGCTGTAATAACCTCATCATTACCAGTCGGCAAACAGTGCTTCATAGGCCTACATTAAAACTAGGCTACATTAACGAAATAGCCTAGTGTGGTTACAGAGAACTTTGAGTTGATTCAATTACAGCAAATACAACAAGAAACACTTTGATTCCTGTGAATATGTACCAATTTACAGTGGTATTATCATGTCACATTTTTGGGGGTGGTATTATATAGCATTTCCGGATTGAACGGGAATACCGGGATGCCCGGGAGGGGCTTGCAATTTTTTCTGGAAGGAAAATGTGTAGATTTCGGGAAAATATTCAACCCTAGTTTGGATGTCATTAGGTTTCAGTGGAACAAATTAGATAAGTGATATTCACCTGGAAGTGATCCAGCATCTGTTTCCACGACAACACCAAGAGGGCCTCTTTCCGGATCTTCTTGGGGATTTCTGAGTAGAGCAGTGAGTTCTCTCTACTTCCGTAAGGCATTCCTGATAGATAGAGAGACATTGGAAGTGAAAACAAGTTAAGTGATCAAGGTACAACTTGCAACATAGTGTAGTTAATTGAAAAATGTGCACATTAACTCAATGAAGCACTGATTGAGCAATAGTGTGACGATCTTCAGTGGCAGATGGCCTTGGCTCACCGAGGTAGTACAGTCGATGGGAGTGGGGGCCTGACTCATAGTTTTTCTGCACAAACTGGAAGTCATGGGGCGCTTTGTTGGCGATCATTCCTGAGTATTTCCTGCTGCTGTGGATGATGTCACGCAGGCCATCCCACGAGTGCTTCTCCACATAGAACTGAGACGGCACATCCTCCATCTCCACCACCTCTGTGCTGTCTGTTAGCCCATCCACCGCCGTCATATTCACTTCGAAAGAACTGAGAGGGGGGAAGACACAACCCAAAGACAACACACTGGTAATTTACATGCTCACGAACAATGGCACTTGCATCTAGTATGGAAACGCACAGACAGAGACACAGACACACACAAATGTATTGGCCTACACAATGGGTTTTCTAGCACAGTTTCCCAACCCTGGTCCTCGAGTACCCCAAACAGTTTCGATGTAGCCCTGGACAAACACACCTCATTCAACTCATTGAGGGCTTGATGATTAGTTGACAAGTTGAATCAGGTGTGCTTGTCCAGGGTTACAATTAAATGTGTATTGTTGGAGTACTGGAGGAGCGGGGTTGGGAAACACTGATCTAGCACTCCTATCTTCACAGGTCATTTGAACACACAAGGACACCATACCTTTTCCAGTAACCTTCTGTTTTGTCTTCACTCTATGCATTCACCGGCCAACAAGCCTCAACCAGATTCTGCAACCTAAAGTTAAACATTCAAATAAAAGGGTAAATCAATCTTATATAAATTGAACAACACCAACCTATAGATTCATTCTGAATCCATGTGTCTTAATCAATGTGACAATCCTGCATGCAGTAAAGGTTTGGTATACTTTTAGTCAATGAGAATTTTGCAACGTAAAGCTTCACTTTCTGAACATTCGAGATGTGTAGTCCACTTGTGTAGCTAGCATGACTGACTTTGTGCTAGCTAGCCAACGTTTAATTATTTCTGCGTTATGAAAGGAACTAGACACGGACACGAATGATCTGTTTAGTGTGTTAACACACTATTGGTAGTTTGTTGTAACCAAGTATTGGTGCTAAACTGTGTGTTATTGGATGCTAGCATGCTAGTTAGCTATGGTGTCATAGGATACGGTGCCCTGGGCGGTTTTCACAGAAGAATACTGTACCAAGTTAGCTAGCTGAATAAACTAAGTTAGAGTCTATTCCTAGAAAACATTGAACCGCTGTAGTTTACAACAATTATAATTTCTAAAGTGGAAGTTGGGAGAGTTATATTTGAGTGTTTCAGTGAAAGGTAAGTGAGGGAGGCCCTGCTCTCTCGCTTCCCCAGATGTTTAGGTAATTTTATTCCGATCTCTTTTGCATTATTGTAGGCTTTTCTGTAGCCTATCAACTATGCCTCTGTCTATCCCCGTTCTCTCCTCTCTGCACAGGCTATACAAACGCTTCACACCGCGTGTCTGCTGCCACTCTAATCTGGTGGTCCCTGCGCGCACGACCCACGTGGAGTTCCAGGTCTCCGGCAGCCTCTGGAACTGCCGTTCTGCGGCCAACAAGGCAGTTCATCTTAGCCTATGCTACCCTCCAGTCCCTCGACTTCTTGGCGCTGACGGAAACATGGATTACCACAGAAAACACTGCTACTCATACTGCTCTTTCCTCGTCTGATCATGTGTTCTCGCATTCCCCGAGAGCATCTGGTCAGCGCGGCGGTGGCACAGGAATCCTCATCTCTCCCAAGTGGACATTCTCTCTTTTCCCCCTGATGGATCTGTCTATCTCCTCATTTGAATTCCATGCTGTCACAGTCACTAGCCCATTCAAGCTTAACATCCTTATCATTTATCGCTCTCCAGATTCCCTTGGAGAGTTCATCAATGAGCTTGATGCCTTGATAAGTTCCTTTCCTGAGGATGGCTCACCCCTCACAGTTCTGGGTGACTTTAACCTCCCTACGTCTGCCTTTGACTCATTTCTCTCTGCCTCCTTCTTTCCACTCCTTTCCTATTTTGACCTCACCGTCCACCCCTACTCACAAGGCAGGCAATACGCTTGACCTCATCTTTACTAGATGCTGTTCTTCTACTAATCTCACTGCAACTCCTCTCCAAGTCTCTGACCACTACTTTGTATCCTTTTCTCTCTCGCTCTCCTCCAACACTACTCACTCTGCCCCTACTCAGATGGTGATGTACCGTCGCAACCTTCGCTCTCTCTCTCCCGCTACTCTCTCCTCTTCCATCCTATCATCTCTTCCCTTTGCTAAATCCTTCTCCCTCCGATCTCCTGATTCTGCCTCCTCAACCCTCCTCTCCTCCCTTTCTGCATCTTTTGACTCTCTATGTCCCCTATCCTCCTGGCCGGCTCGGTCCTCCCCTCCTGCTCCGTGGCTTGACGACTCATTGCGAGCTCACAGAACAGGGCTCCGGGCAGCCGAGCGGAAATGGAGGAAAACTAGACTCCCTGCAGACCTGTCATCTTTTCACTCCCTCCTCTCTACATTTTCTTCCTCTGTTTCTGCTGCTAAAGCCACTTTCTACCACTCTAAATGTCAAGCCTCTGCCTCTAACCCTAGTAAGCTCTTTGCCACCTTCTCCACCCTGCTGAATCCTCCTCCTCCTCCTCCTCCCTCTCTGTGGATGACTTCGTCAACCATTTTGAAAAGAAGGTTGACGACATCCGATCCTCATTTATTAAGTCAAATGACACCGCTGGTCCTGCTCACACTGCGCTACCCTATGCTTTGAGTTCTTTCTCCCCTCTCTCTCCAGATGAAATCTTGCGACTTGTTGACGGCCGGCCGCCCAACAACCTGCCTGCTTGACCCTATCCCCTCCTCTCTTCTCCAGACCATTTCCGGAAACCTTCTCCCTTACCTCACCTCGCTCATCAACTCATCCTTGACTGCTGGCTATGTCCCTTCCGTCTTCAAGAGAGCGAGAGTTGCACCCCTCCTCAAAAAACCTACACTCGATCCCTCTGATGTCAACAACTACAGACCAGTATCCCTTCTTTCTTTTCTCTCCAAAACTCTTGAGCGTGCCGTCTCTAACCAACTCTCCTGCTATCTCTCTCAGAATGACCTTCTTGAGCCAAACAAGTCAGGTTTCAAGACTGGTCATTCAACTGAGACTGCTCTTCTCTGTGTCACGGAGGCTCTCCGCACTGCTAAAGCTAACTCTCTCTCCTCTGCTCTTATCCTTCTAGACCTATCTGCTGCCTTTGATACTGTGAACCATCAGATCCTCCTCTCCACCCTCTCCGAGTTGGGCATCTCCGGCGCTGCTCACTCTTGGATTGCGTCCTACCTGACAGGTCGCTCCTACCAGGTGGCGTGGCGAGAATCTGTCTCCGCACCACGTGCTCTCACCACTGGTGTCCCCCAGGGCTCAGTTCTAGGCCCTCTCCTATTCTCTCTATACACCAAGTCACTTGGCTCTGTCATATCCTCACATGGTCTCTCCTATCATTGCTACGCAGATGACACACAATTAATTTTCTCCTTTCCCCCTTCTGATAACCAGGTGGCGAATGGCATCTCTGCATGTCTGGCAGACATATCAGTGTGGATGTCGGATCACCACCTCAAGCTGAACCTCAGCAAGACGGAGCTTCTATTCCTCCCGGGGTAGGACTGCCCGCTCCATGATCTCGCCATCACGGTTGACAACTCCATTGTGTCCTCCTCCCAGAGTGCAAAGAACCTTGGTGGACAACACCCTGTCGTTCTCCGCTAACATCAAAGCGATGACTCCATCCTGCAGGTTCATGCTCTACAACATTCGCAGAGTACGACCCTACCTTACACAGAAAGCAGCACAGGTCCTAATCCAGGCACTTGTCATCTTCCGTCTGGATTACTGCACTCGGCGTTGGCTGGCTCCCTGCCTGTGCCATTAAACCCCTACAACTATCCAAACGCTGCAGCCGTCTGGGTTCAACCTTCCCATGTTCTCACATGTTACCCGCCTCCGCACACTCCACTGGCTTCCAGTTGAAGCTCGCATCTACTACAAACCATGGTGCTTGCCTACGGAGCTGTGAGGGAACGGCACCTATTTACCTTCAGGCTCTGATCCTACACCCAAATGAGGCACTACGTTCATCCACCTCTGGCCTGCTAGCCCCCTACCTCTACGGAAGCACAGTTCCCGCTCAGCCCAGTCAAACTATTCGCTGCTCTGGCACCCCAATGGTGTAACAAGCTCCCCCACGATGCCAGGACAGCGGAGTCACTGACCACCTTCCGGAGGCACTTGAAACCCTACCTCTTTAAGGAATACCTGGAATAGTATAACAGTAATCTTCTACACCCACCCTTCCCCAGTGGTGGTTGTCCCACTGGCTATCCTAATTGAATGCACCAATTGTAAGCGACTGCTAAATGACTTAAATGTTAAATGGTAGAAGATAAGCAGACGCATAAGGAATGTCCCACATTCCATTGGTGGTAATGTTGGATTTTACGGTGCGACACTAGTAAAAACGTAAGTGAAAGAAAAAAAAGATAAAAAAGTAATAAATAATGTTCTGTTAGAGTTGTTATCAGTTCTAACATTATTTTTTTTCCCAAGACTGTGCAGCATGATCTATTTTGTGCGCAATAGGCCTAAGTATATGACATGAAGTTTTGTCGGAGCGTATGGTTCACCCGGCAGGCGTATTATGTGATGTAGAACTTCGTCGCCCAGCAGGTCATTCAACCACAAAATGAAACTTTCAAGGACACGGAATGAGAGGTGAATAAAGAGGTTCGCAAACGCACATTATTTTGATACTACTGCCGAGCAATGTGGCCCCAAGTTGATAGGCTCATTGTACATGCCAAAGTCCCCTTAACCTTTTCTGGTGAATTTGTAAAAACATGCATGATGGAAGGCAGCGGAGATTGTGTGCCCTGAAAAGCGGCAGGCTTTTGCAAATATCAGCCTGACAAGAAACACAGTTGCAGACAGGATTTCCGATCTTTCAGTGGATTTGGACAGCCAGTTGAAGCAAAAAGTAAAGTCATTTATTGCGTTTTCGGTTGCAATTGATGAAAGCACGGACATTACAGATGTTGCACAACTGGCCATTTTCATCCGCGGAGTTGATGACACATTGACCGTCACCGAGGAGTTCGTGGAGTTGGTGCCGATGACAGATTACAACGACAGCAGCTGATATTTTTACCGCACTCGTCGGCGCGCTGGACAGGGTCGGAGTGGACTGGTCCCGCGCTGTCAGCCTGGCTACAGATGTGCGCCCTCAATGATCG